CAGATGGGTAAATAGGGACAGAGAAGCTTGTTTCTCAATTTCTGACTGGTTACTAAAATTTTCCATTCCATTGGGCAAAGTTGCAAACATGCCCTTTATAATACTGAACAAATACTGTGTTGAATTTTAAGCTGTAACAGCAGGGTATTCTGCAGTCACTGTAGGCATGTGGGGCTCATGTTATCTAAAAATACATGTTTAGCCCTGTTGCAGGAAGTATTTCAGGTAGCTTAGAATAGATATGACCAAAGTCACAGCACAACTTCCAGCACACAAAATAAATAAATGACTTCCCAATATATTGAGACAACAAAACAGTAATATGATATACTACTTATTGTGTTTTAAAAAACAAAGTACACACACTGATACAAAGACTGGAAATCATCATCTTCGTAGTGGTTCCACCTAGGTTAAATATAAGTGATTCTTATACTCTTCCTTGTTTTTTGAGTATTTAAATATTTTCTATAATGAATGTGTTTATCTTTGTTATTTTCATTTACATACAGTTCTGGGTTTTGACAAATACAAACACAGTTGTGAAACAGCCCCCGAGATTAAGATGCAGAACTCTGCCGTTACCCCCCAAATTCCCTAGCACTGTCCCTTTGTATTCAGCCCCTCCTCCCTCACTCCCACCCCTGGCAACCACTCAGCTGCTCTCTGTCCCTACTGCTTGCCTTTTCCAGAATGTCATAGAAAAGGAATCATATAATATGTAGCTTTTTTGGATCTGGCTTCTTTCACTTAGCAAAATGTTTTCTTTTAATTAGAAAAAAAAGACCCAACTTATATTTTTAAAAGTTAAAAACTTTACTTTTCCACTTTAAAAGAAAACTCCACAAACTGAATTCTAATTTTTTTCTTTTTTTTTAATATAAAGAGACCAGGAGGTACAGCTTCAGTTGAGATTGCTTTCTTTTTTAAGGTTGCCATTTCTTTGATGGACCCAAAGTTGCCTCACAGCCTTTTGAGAAATTTAGCAAAAATTAAACTCTCATTATCAGGGACAATGGAGAAGGCCTTTTATGAAAGTTCACTCTCCACAATATCTGTGATAGATGCCTGTTAACAGCAGGGAAGGATCTACTTTCCTAACAATGTAGTCAGTGTACTGGAATCCCAACCGTCGCACTCGAGGCATCCCTGCACTTAGAGCACCTGACACACTCCAAGATAATTCATCAATGATCAGATACAAGAAGTTCAACTTGTTGCTGCAGCAGCCAATGATAAACTGTAAAAGCCATTTTTTAATGAACCTATCCTCTTTAGAAGATTCTGAGTGGGGAGAAACACCAAAGCTCACTAGCTCCTGGATCCTAAATCTATAGCTGTTCAACAACTTATTGGCCCAAGGAGCCACCGAAAAAAAAAATAAAGAAGCCTCTGATGCTCACTTTCATAGAACTCTGTGCTTGGATGTGTCAGGTCTCTGCTCCAGCAATGAAAGTCAAAGATGGCAGCTACCCAGGCCCCATCAAGTAGAGGATAGTTTGAATTTACCCTCCTGGCCAACAATTAGATCTAATCATATTGGCTCCTCTGATAAAATATAAGTTGCCTGAGAGCAGCCATGTCCCATTTATTATTTTCCACTATAAAAAGTTTGGTTGAATAAAGAAATGATAAGATAAAAAAATGAAAAACGTTTTTCCATCATGGAATCATGGCGGTTCACTGTAGATCTGCAATGAAACGTTCCTCAACTCCATTTTGTAAGTATCCTGACATAATTTCAGTGGCAATGAGTTAACACTTGAGCCCTTGGCATCATGAGGTGTACATCAGATTGTGCACTGACGACTGAGGAGTGGTTTTTTTCCATGGCATAGTATCATCAATATGTCTAGAGGATTAATGGCATGGAAGAAAGAAGCAAGAAGAGAAAGAAGAAGGAAGAAGGAGGAGGAAGGAGGGTGAGGAGGGAGAAAGGTGAAGAGGAGAAGGAGAAGAAGCAGAATATTTATATAGCACATAATTTATAAGGAACTTTCACATTTATCATACACATAAGCATGATAAAAATGTACAGAATAGCGATCATTTCCCAAGAATTAGGGAATAAATTCACCTACTTAATAAATTTGCCTACCTCCCTTCCTACTACAGAGATGAAGCATAGGAAATTCTCCCTTGATAGAATGGCATGTAGACAGATGCCTGCCTGCAGGGCAGGGACACTGTGAAGACAGGCTCTATAGTTACGGCTACCCTTTAAGCACAAGGAGAGCAGGAGAATTACAAACTGCCCAGTGAGTCAAGGGTATTTGGACAGTTTTTGACCATCGAGGGCACGGAGTGGGGCAGAATGAACACATGGTAGTCTACAGATAATCTTCAGGCCTCATCAGACCAATTATTTCCTCAATCTCTATTAACATTTCTACCAGATGCGGGAAGGTAGCTAACAGGTGAGCCAAATACCACTTTTACTGCCAATCCATTTCCCTGGCTCTGCTCTCACTCAAGTGCAACTAGTGAACCAGGAAAATCACCAAAAGAAACAAGAAAAACCACCAAGATGACAGACATAATCCCCACCTGCACAATCAGGCATCTTGGCAAATGCCCCCAGAAAACTATCCTGGAACCCTCCACCACCATCTATTATATGTCCTTAAATAATATCTTTGACATTAAGGAGTAGGTTGCTTCTAGATAGGGAACAAAATCTTCCACCATTAAAAAGCCTCGTTAGACCTTTTTCCCTATATTCCATCATAAAAATGAGACAAGAACAATCTATTCCATCTCCTCCTCCTCCTCCTGGCTACACACACACACACACACACACACACACACACACAGTCAAAGCTGAACTATGTGAGGCTCTGTGAGCAAATCTGGACAGTTTTTCTCCCTGCTGCCCCACATAGTGGAATGCACACCATGAAGCAGCAAAATGCACCAAATTCCACAGCCTCTAGGGATCAACATTTAAGGAACTTGGTTGGCATTTCTGTAATATGAACCATCAATACTACATTCTGGTTCAAAGGCACCTACGGTTGGAATAGAAGAAACAATCTGGGATACTTTTCCCCACCCCCTTTCAGAAATACTTTCTGTGGGAAAGAAGGAGGTAGGGCAAGAGAAAGAGCAACACAGAAAGGCGGAAACTGAGAAACAGGCGTTCTCTGCAGAATGATTATGGCTTTGTCTAAGAAAAAAACCTCATGAAAGCTTCTTTAAATATAAAACTAAAAGAAAACTTACAAGTGTTACTATAACAATACTGTCTAACTTACTTTACATTATCAAACAGAACAATTATTCCAAATGCAATTATTATCCAAAGACAGAAAACAATAATATAATTATTTCCTGCTGAGAAACATGATACTGTTTATCTAAAAGCAGTATAAACAACTGTTACCCTGAAATAACCATGAAACTTTTGGACATAAATCCTCAGGGTAAAAGGCACAACTGTAGTTACAGTGTAAAGTTGACCTCAAATTTAGAGGATAGTTCAAATGAACAACAAAGCACAATTTATGTTCATTTCCCTCATCTTCAAAGGCTCTAAGGACTTATTTTAATTCACCATGTTTTTAAAACCTCACATAGCATAGATACTGTATATCTTAGAATGCATTTGATGAGGAATACATTATTCATTTATGGTAAGTCAATGTATATTTTTTTAAAGTACCAGCTGTAAGTAAAAGGAAGAAAATAGTGTTTGCCTTAATACCTCTACTCTCTGCAAGAACTAGTGAAAGGAAGCTACCCATGTATCTGGGTTCATGGGAGTCATAAAACAAAGTTGGACGAATTAGAATAAACTGCAGCTTTCCTCCCTAAAATGTAGCCAGCAAAATTTATGAGACCCCCGAAAACATGAGCTACATTCATTTTGCAACTCAGAAGCAAGACTTCTACTCTTGCATAGGCCAACGCTGAGAAGCAGGGAAAAAACTGGGCTCCCTCAGGGATTCTCTTTATTCAATTTTTGAGGTACAGCACTGAACCCAATCCACAGAGCAACGTTCTATTGACTGAATGAATGAATGAATGGACACACGCTGTCTGGCACAAAGGTGCCCAGTCAATGCCAAGGCAGTTCTGCAGACCGCTCTACCAGAGTCCACATGCAAACCATTTTCCTTTTTCACTCTCCTTCAATGTGCCCTCTTTTTCATGCTCCACGGTGAATCAAATATGGCTGCAAATTCTTTGTCATTTCTTCCATGGAACTTCCCCTCTGCTATCTGCTCTATTTGGGGCAGTAGGGTGGGAAGCTCTGTCACTGCTTTGAGCAATATGATCAAATATTTGATCAATATTTGAGAATATGGCAGAAGTGACTCTGCGACAGTTTTCAGAGCCAGGCCCTAAGACACTGGCAGCTTCCCTTTTTTGTCTCTTGGAACATTCTCTCGAGGAGGTCCAAGCTGCTATGTCCTATGTCCTGTTAATCTGAGATCACCATGCTGGAGATGCCATATGTAGATGCTCCGGGTTTTGGTCCCAGCTGAGCTCCCTCTCCCAGAAATCCTGACCACAGACCCACATACTGAGTAAAGCCATCTTGGGCCCTCAAACCAGCCTGCCTACCAGCTGAACACCACTAAGTGACCCCAGTCGATATCATGTACAGCAAAAGAACAGTCCAGCTGAGCCTGCCTAAATTCCAGTCTCCCAAAAGTGTATGATGTAATAAAATGGCTATTGTTTTAAGTCACTAAATTTCAGGGTAATTTGTTACACAGCAATAAATAATTGGAACATAGTCTTTCTCTCCTTCTAAAGACTAGCAGTGGGAGCCAAGGGCAACGTGCTGGTATAGCCAGTCCTTGTACTAGCTCTGAAGACAGTATAAGCAGGGAGGCTGGGAAAAGAAACTGGCTTCTACTCATGAGGCTTGAAGCAGGGCTTTGGGCCTGTAATGCTTCTAGAGACAGATTTACCCTGATGGCTAGCAGCTCCCTATCCAACAGCTTTGGCAACAAAGGCCACAAACCCCCACCAGGCACCATGAAAGGCCATACCTGCCTCATGAGCTCCTCTTGGCGCATTCTAATCCTCTCTCTCTCCATCTGGATCCTCTGAAGCCGAAGTTTCTGCTGCTGCTGCTGCTGAGTGGTCAGCGCATTAGGCATACTCATGAGCCCTGCTGGCGGGTTCTGAGTAGGGTGGTTCTGCTGGCTCAGGGAACTGGGTGCCATTTGCTGCTGGTGTTGGTGATTCATCACTATGGGAGGGAAGAGCATACAGGAGATTAATGTCAAGGGCCTACAAGAAACCATCAGAATGTTTTGTGCTTTGGAGCATAGATTCCTGAGATTCCTCCCAAAATACTTACCTGTTAATCAGTACTGTTTAACAAATGATTGTCTCGATTCAATTCATGGACACTCAGATACTGGCCCCACTCCTAACTCATTTAATTTTATCTTTTGTGCGTTCTAAAAATCTCATTCATTCCTTCCCTGAGCCTGCTGTACATTTTAAGCCTTTCATAGAACATAGTGGTCAAAAGTAAATTCTATAAAGATTACTACAACATATGAGATAACTTCACCAAGACACCTGGGTGTGCACGTAGTTCCTCAAGCAACCTGTATGCTGATGGCCGAGCTAAGGAAGCATGTGATCATCAGTACATGTTGAGTCTACAATAATATCTAGGATGGATGGTGAACTGATAAGAAACATGTAAAACACAGCACTTGGACCAGGGATGTATATACAACCAGGATCCCGTTGATGCTTTGTTCAAAAAGGGTGCACCACAGAAGTAAGAGCTAAGCTCAGGAACAAATAACTGATTGAGAAAAAAAATGTCTCAATTTTTGCAAAGAGAAACATTAGTGATTAAAAAAATTACATAACAATGTTAATCACGTTTGTGATTGGATGAAGGCACTAGAAGTGTTCTAAGCTTTTTAAGGATTATCCATTTATCTGCATTTCCCGACATTTTACATATTAGCATGTTGTACTTCACATTAGAAAACAATTGAAAAAATCCTCTAATAAATTCTGTAACTGGCATTTCCACACAAAAAAATTTCACTTTAAAAAGTGCTAGTTTTTCGCAAAAGTTTACCAGTCAAATTTGCTTAATTTCTGCCTGGGCAATATCCTGTAATAATGAAGACCATGTTTTTTAGTCTATTTGTTCTTAGGTCACAGCCAAAGACAGCAACTTCATTCATATACACATACAATGAAAATTTTCTATAGAAAAACTGGTTTCCTTAAGGAACAACTAATTTCATGGTGGAATTTCCTCCAGCTAGGGAAGATAGGATAAACTACCCGTTTTCTTTTTTCTTTAAAGCACAGTTTGTAAAAAAAAAATTTTTCTTGATTGACTGAGAGAAAGAGAGAAACATCGATTTGTTGTTCTACCCATTCATGCATTCATTGGTTAACTCTTGTATGTTCCCTTACTGGGGTATCGAACCTGAAAGCTTGGTATATCAGGACAATGTTCTGACTAACTTAGCTACCAGGCTAGGTCTAAACCATTCTTTGAAAATTTTTTTCTGTATTTGGTTTTGGAGACAGGAGAAGTGAGGGAGAGAGGGAGAGAAACATCGATCAGTTGCTTGTCACATGTATCCCAACTGGGGACTGGGCCTGCAATCCAGACCTGTGCCCTGACCAGGAATTGAACTGGTAACCTTTCACTTTTCGGGATGACACTTAACCAGCTGAGTCACACTGGTCATGGCAGAAACCATTCTTTTTTAAAAAATGTGTTGATACATTCACTCAAATCTTTATTGCATTCCTACTGTGTTCCAGGCACTGGGCTTACAGGTGGAATAAACAGCTCCTGCCCTCACAGGAACCAATAAGCTATTGGAAGAAATGTGTGAAGAAATGACATGGGTTTTTGTAGGTGGCTGTGGAACTTTAGAATGTTAGGTTTTGTAAGGAACCTTGGAGGTTATCTAGTCTATCCCTTCACTTTATGGAAGGAAAGACAAACCCAGAGAGGTGAAGAAAAGTGTTCTGGTTAGTGGCAGCTAGAACTATGGCCAAAGTTTCCTTCTGAGACCTGGGCTACCTGCTCTTTCACCTGTCCTTGTCTGCCCTCTGCCTCACCTTAGACTGAAGGACAGGAACAATTGCTCAAACTGAGAGCAATCCTTTAAACACAGTTTGCCTTTGAGAGCAAGGAAGTACCACTCAGACAGCAGGTCATCAAAACTGGGCCCTGGGCCCAAAGGCTGTCCAGGTTATAAACAGGAAGTTTTCAAGGAAGGTTTGAATTGACAACTCTGCTCAATAATGAGCTACTGCAGAGGGAGGTCAGAATACGTGGAACAGTCCCCCTAAACCGTTTGGGTCTCCCTTCCTGAATTCAGCCCACAACAAAGAACTCTCACCTCCTGGCACCATCTCTGGCACACAAGAGGCTCAGTAAATAATGCGATGGATGAATAAAAGCACCTGGCCATTTCTTATGTTCTTAGCTTGAGAACAGAAAAAAGGAAGTCATGACTGGCGCCAAAAGAACCAAAATGAGTATTTTATTCCCATAGCTTAAAGCACAATTTCAACCTTAACTGGAAGGACCGAGTAGGAGGCCAGGGACTGTGCACAGGGGGAGAGAGCTCTTAAATACAGAGTCAAGGAAGACAAAGTGCAGACATCCAGGAGGGAGCAGTTCATTAGCCCTCTTTCAGGCCAAGGGGCTGGGGATTATTTCCAGGGACAGTCATTTCTGAACCTCCTGAGAAATGATGTTCCTATTTTTCTGATATAACTAACCAGAAAGAAAAAAGCCCAATTGTGCCTATAAGGGAAACGTATAAATTGAATATTTCCAATACCGAAAACTCTCAAGTTAGGAAAAACAGGCTAGTAAAGGTTAGTTTGGGGGGGGCGGGGGTTGTTGGTGGTAATTCAGAGGTTATTAACTCTGTTAGTTTTTATAACTCAGATACTTTGAAAAAGTTTTTAAAAATGACTCAAGTCTGGTAATTTAGTGACATGACAAATTCCCAGGAGCAAGACTATCTCCAGTGGCTGGCCTGGGAAGACTGTCGTCCGTGTACAAAAGTGTGCACTGGGTTTGCTCACAGTGGACTCTGTCACTCGTCTCCACACAATAACCAGACGCTGCCGGCAAACTTGATTGATGTCTCCAGGAGTGTAAGACTTGGAGAAGAGCTCTTCCAAAACCACACCCCTGCTAGTCTTCAAAACACCAGCCCTGACAGAGCCGTCCACAGAGGGGAAAGGGGAGATGCTGCTTTCTTCCACTTAATTTAGATTTGACCATTCAGACTAAACATCTCCAATTATTAACTGTAGAGCCTGAAAGAGTGGAACTTAGACAATGGCTTTGTTTTCAAAGGAAGGCGCACACAAAAACAAGTTTGTATGAAGATATTCACTATGGTAGAGTATGTAATAGTAAAGATTAAAAATGTCCACCAATGGAAGATGATGATCCACTCACTGAGAGGAATTCTGTGCTAACTACTGCAGAGAATAAGGGAGTTCTGCGGGTACATCTGTGGCACAGTCTCTAAGAAACATTGTTCAGAGGAGGGAAAATTTGAGAGACAGTACTATATGTATGAGCACACTTCTATCTGCAGTTAGGAAAGCGGGGCTTTATTACACATACACAGCAAATCTCTGTAGAAGGACACACAAGAAACCAGTAACAGTGGTGCCCCGGGGAGGAAGCTGGGTGTCAGGAATGGGAGGAGATCTTCCTTTTCCTCTTCTGCCCTGTTTGAAGTTTTCCTATGCACACTTATTACTTATGTAAAACACAAACAAAACATAAAAGTAAAAAAAATATAATATGAAACATGCTCATATATGCATCAAATTCAGTATTTTACTGGTGGAGTAAAAGGAGGCAATCTCGAAATTACTTGAAAAATAAGCCTTAAAATAGAATCAAGGTCATCAAAGCTGAGAGCCCACCCAATGTGACTCCTCCGGTGGAGATAAGAAAATCAACGCTCAGAGAAAGAGGACTGAGTCAGGACGCCTGGTTTCGAAGTGCTTGTGATTCAACCTGCTGCTCTGCTTGCTCTCTGTAGTCATGTCACCTCGAACTGTTACTGATCCTTCTCTGAGATCGGAGCTCGTGAACTTCACCAATAGTTGAGGCTCTCTTTAAAGCCACTGTTTCTGTTTGCCACTCAGACAACAGGGACAGGGGAGGCCCAAGGCAGAGATAAACAGAGGAGGCCCGTGTGACAAGGCCAAACATCTAAATTCATGATGAACAAAAGACAACTTGGGAAAATATTTCAGATCATTTTAGGGAGAGAACAAGAGCTCAGTTAAAAAAAAAAAAAAAGGAAACCAATGTAGAGAATCCCAAATGCAGTGTCTGAGGCCAAACCAGTAAGGGCAGACTGCCATGAAAGGCCTGAAAAAGGCTAAAGACCTTGTCAGTTCTAGACTTTTGCCAGTCCCCACACAAAGGAATAACCCAAACAAGATCTCTCCATCGAAGCAGGAATGCTTCAAATCTAAAGCAGAGGCAACTTATTTTTCTTTCCAAAACACTCAGAATTTAAATTTAAATCCACATTTCTCTTTTACACTGTTTTCATCTCCTTCTTCATTTTTTCTTTTTCCCTTCAATACTTGGCTTTCTGTTCTGTGCTGGGAAATCAATATAACCATGCTCTGCAGATACATGACGAGAAACATTTCATTGCTATTATTCATTATAATGGAAACACCAAGATAAAGAAACTCCACAGCATTTGAGATATGAACACTCTTGATTCAATGACTGTGTCCTTGGTGAAGTAAACAGTCAACATGGGAATGGGATGTAGGGGGTAGGGGGTGACTATACTGGACAGGACCCCCTGGTTAATGCTGTCCGGGACAAGGTCCACTGATGTACCCTCTGGCCTGTTCCAGCAGCACACTTGCTCACTTCATCTAAAAGTCCCAAGAGTCGCCCTGACCCATGTAGCTTAGGTGGTTGAGTGTTATCCTGCAAAGCCAAAGGTCACTGGTTTGATTCATGGTCAGGGCACATGCTTGGGTTGAGGGTTCAGTCCCCAGTTGGGCATGTACAAGAGGCAAACCAATCAATGTTTCTCTCTCATATTGATGTTCCTCTCTCTTTCTCCCTCCCTTCCCCTCACTCTAAAATGAATGAATGAATGAATGAATGAATGAAATCTTTAAAAGCCCCAAGAGTAGACTCAAGGACAGGAAAGTGCCTGGACTCAGTTCTAAGCCTACACATCATTTATCATATAAGAAGCAAACATGGAAAAGGTAAAGACTTCACTCCAGAATGTTTGCCTTTTGCTGCATCAGGGAACAGAGAGCAACAACAGCTCATAGAGAAAGTGCTTTGGCAGTTTCCCGAAGCCAGGAGCTGTAGACGACAAGGGAGGCCAATGAATCAGAGGCTGCCCAGCATGCTGCCTGGAATGCTTGACAAATGTCTTTTTGACCTTTTGGGCTTGCTTTTCTGTGTCCTCAGTGTGCATGCGTGTGAGCGTACACACATAAAGAGTCAAGTGAAGAAAACAAAAAGTTAGGCTCAAGTACAAAACCTACCACAGGCCTCTGGCCTTAGGGTTGGCCTAAGTAGGTTATGGAAAAGACACCAGCATGCCAATGGCTAGAAGCCACACCTAAGCCCTAGAAAGACAAAAATTATTTTCTTCAAGTCCTTCTCCCTAATTCACATGTGAGTCTTAGGACAGGGGAAAAAATAAATTTTGTAACTACATGTAGTGATTGATGTTAACTAGAATTATTGTAGTGACCATTTCAAAATACATACAAATATTGAATTATGTTATACCCTGAAACCAATTAGTTACGTATCAATTATATCTCGTTAAAAAGTAAATGAAATTGAAATAATAATAATGTGTTACTATTGGTTCCTTAGTCATCACAAAGACAGCATACTAATGTAAGATGTTAACAATATGGGAAATTGGATGAGAGGATATACAGGAACTTAATCTTGTCAATTTTTCTGTAAGTCTAAAACTGTTTCTTAAAATATTGTGTGTGTGTGTGTGTGTGTGTGTGTGTGTGTGTGTAGTAACCATGTCTTCAATAAATATCAGGAACTGTACTGGGCACTGTGTCTTCAATACTCACTAATAATTAGTTTTCATGATGTATATAAAATGGGTAAATATTTAGAAGAAAACACGGTCAATAGTTACGTTCTATGGAAGTAAATAGATATTAAGCTAAAATTTATAAAATAATAGCTGCTTCCAGGAGGGTTCCATGGTCAAATAAGATTGGGAAATATTTAAACAAAGTTAAAAGAGCTTATTTTACTGCAGGATTTCTCATTGCCTTTAATATACTGACACTGAGACTTTCCAAGAGGGAGATAAAAATGCAGCACTTCTCAAACTTGGAAGACTGGCGTTCTGAGTAGCAATACTGGAAAATGCTGGTTCACTTCAACTTAGCAGAGATCTTGGCAGTATTGAATTATAAATGAATTAATATTTATTAAGCACCTACTATGTGCTAAACTCTTTAAAGCCAACTAAACAGCTACGTAAGATGTGGAGCCAGAGAAGAAAATGTGGCAGCCTGTCAGTATCTTCATGAGCTTAGAATTATGACTGCTGTTCAAAACACAAACAAAAACAAAGCAAAACAAGACACAGGGAAAGCAAGCATATTATAAAAGACTGACAGAACATCTGCTGAAATTCTCCATAGCAAATGCCAATTTAATGAGAAAATGTCAAAGATGAATTAACCTGTATATCAGTTTTCAAAGGTGGTGCGCAGAATCTTGCTAAATTAACTTTAGTTTCATATATTCACAATAACCTATCTTTTAAACTTAATTGGGGCTTTTTTACTTGCTTCTATGATAGAACAACTTTAACTCTTCCAAATGATCCTTCTAACATCATCCCTTGAGAGTGAGAAGAGGAAGAGGCTGACATTGTTTTTGAAAACCTGCTTACAACTTCCTCAAAATAGGCAAATAGGCAACATTCAAGTACTAGCTTTTTCAAAATAGGTGTGAATGCGCAATATTCAAGTAACATTGAGTATTGGATAATTGGGTAACATGCTTGATTTGGGATCTGGAAAACCAGATGGAACGGGTGTTTAATTGAGTTTGATGTTTGGGCTAATAAGTTCATATAAATTGCATCAGAAACTCCTTGAGAGGGGAGTATAAGATCCCTTGAATCCTGGTCTGGGGACTTAAGAGCTTAACCATCACTTCATTCTCTGCCCTCAATCTACAAATGCTGAAACTAAGGTCAGAGGCCTGAGAGGTTTCCTGGGACACAGCTCTTTCAGTGCTAAAGCTGGGAGTGTCCCAAGTAAATGGATTGATTGGTCACCCTACGCCATTAACCGTCCACTGCCCCAGAGCTAGCTCACGGCAGTAGAACCTGAGTTTCCTGTTTCTACCCTAATGTGTTCCCTGAGAAAGAGAACCAGTGCCAGCCAGGATGAAATATCCATTTGATATATAGAACCATGGCCACACTATCCAGATTAGCTCTCCGTGTACTCCTCTGTGGATTACAACTAGGCTAGTCGCCTTCTTGTACCCACATTACTTGATAATCAGAGAGTAAACATTATTCCCCCACTGACTAACTTCAAAGGAAATCAGGCAGTATTTATGACATTGTATTGCATGACTTGTAACCACGCACTTGGTTAAGTCTGAAAGTCAGGGAATCTTTCCTGCTGGACTCCTGACTGAGCCATCCACACCAACGGAAGCACTTTTGAGAAACAGTAAACTGTTCTCTTCCTATGATTTGACCTAACTCATCTTCCTGATGGCTGAATTGTGTTCTTTATAACTAAGCCCTGGGAGGGAGCCAAGTCACCCCCTACTGCTCAGAACCAACCCCAATGATATGGATCTTCCTAATAAACATAGAATATAATTTAATATAATAGAATATAAACATAGAAAATAATTTAGTGCACTTGTATGCTGGTTTGGTGCGGACCTGGTACGTCTTGTGTAAGGTGGACGCTGAAGAGACTACAGCAGTCACTACGGCCAATGAAAAGCCCAAGGAAAGATTCAAGACTGAGAACAAAGATCAGATTCATTTGAAGGTGGCGGGGCAGGATGGTTCTGTGGTGCAGTTTAAGGTTAAGAGTCATACACTACTTGGTAAACTAATGAAAGCTTATTGTGAAGGACAGGGTTTGTCAATGAGGCAGATCAGATTCCGATTTGACGGGCAGCCAATCAATGAAACAGACACACCTGCACAGTTGGAAATGGAGGATAAAGATAAAATTGGTATGTTCCGGCAGCAGACAGGAGGGGGCTACTAATAAGGAAACCTGCCACTTTACTCCAGAACTCTGCTCCTCCAGACCAAGACATTCTCGCTTAAAAAAGCACAATTTGGTTCCACACATCCTTACTACTACAGGGTAGTTTTCTCTATTCTTTCATTTTCCCCTTCCAATAAGTGTATGAAATAAGTGATATATGTGCACAAGCATTTGCATTTTTTTTTTTAACTAAACAGCCAATTGCATAGTTTGGTTGGCATCAAATGGAGATGGGATGGGGAAAAATACTGGTTCTGTGAAAATATGCCCTTTCTCCATTAGAATGAGATAAGAGCTCATTCAGCTCTTATCTTTATATTCTAATACATTATTTTGCTCTCATTGTTTAACTAAAAAAAAAAAAAAAAATTCTTGAATACCTTGTTTGATTGGAAAATTTTAATGTTTTTCATTTATCATTGTAAAACCAAGGCCAATTTTTTAACTGTTTTTGTACATAGTTGTTGCATTTAGGACAATCTGTCTTTAAGTATGAATAAATTACTCTAAAAAAGAAAAAAGGAATCCTAAATAGTTTATCCTTCAAGTTAAGCATCCTGCTGTTTAAGTAAAGTTCTTTTTTAAAATGAAAATGATAATAATAATTTAGTGCACTTCAAATCTGACTTGCAAAGGCACATAGTAGGTATTAAATACATTCTGCCTGAATTAAGCTTCAGAGTTTATGCGTGAGAAATTGGTAGTAAAATACCAGTTTTATTTCTAAGATGATCATCACAGACATTCCAGAACAAACTGGAAATCCCTCCCCACTCCCAAAACACAAACACAAGTCTTTTTCTCTTGGGGAATGAACTTTAACCATTACTCCCATAATTTATAAGTGGAAACTTAATGAATACTAAATTTTTGTTGCTGTTTTTTCTATACTTCTAGAGCATATAGCCTGCTCGGCACCCATTTCATTTCTCCATTGTGCCATCACCATGGAAGTTAAGGCTGGAAAGGGCCTTAGTCCATTAGACCAGGGTTGTCAAACTTTTCGTTAGCAGTAGGATCTTTCTTCAGAGCTCGATATATGGCATGAAGCAGAGGAAACCCTCAGTTCGTACAAAGCAGGCCTGGGGCCTGTGCTGGTGCCAGTGGGCAGGTGAGCACTCAGTGGCAGCACCTTGAACTGCCTTCTCTAAGTTCTCTTGGTCTTGCTCTCAGTCTGCTTTCCCTGCTGGCGTTGTCAACTCTTATATCACAAAATATTAAACAAATTTTAAAATACTGCTGGCACCGCTTTTGGAGACTCTGGATACTAAGCTTTGCTTCTGCTCACATTCCCCCGAAGCCCTGCCATGGGACCTTGGGACACAATTTAAAGCCAATGATTTAGGCCAATGCGCTCATTTTAGAGACGAAAAAACTTGGAAGGTTAAGTGACTCAGCGCACATCACAGGCACAGACTGACAAAGCTACAAAGCCCAGAGCGTGTGCTAGAATGCCTTGGCTGGCATCAGCTGCGCTGCTCACCAAGCACTGCCCTGTTCTGTCCAACCTCAGTAAACAAAAATACTTACTGAGTTCATTTGGTGACAAGAAGTATTTCCTTTTCCCTATATCATAAAAAAAAGCCTAATGCAGATTAATGTAATTAACCTATTTACTACTATAAAATGATGAAATCAACATGGATCGCATGTTCTGATGGCAACCTGTTTGGGTGATCTGGCTTTACAGAATATGGTATAAGGCGTTCTCTTTGGTTCTTAAAAAAAAATAAAAGGAAAAGACAAAAATCAGATAACGCTGACAAGTTACATTTTATAACTCAGGAAGGTTTAAACAGGAAGAGGTGCTTGCAGGAAGTAATGCTACGTATGCAACAGAAAGAGGCCAAAACACACAGGTGTCCATCATTTCTGACATCTATGTGGACCCAGCCACCAAGCTTCAAGAGTGCTTCAGAGTTAGGAGTGTCTGGGTGCAGCTATGGGTCTTTTCCTCTCTGTTTATGGACCATATGTGGCTTAACTCATGTGGACTGGCCAATGTCAGGTGTCACGCAGTCCTGTCTGATGTAAAACATATGTCTACAGAGGTAGAAAGAAAAACCCAGGCACAGACCAGCCCTGACTCAGTCACGATACAGTGAAAGGAAAAAGGACTGCAGACGCGTCTCTCGCCCTCGTTGTGTCTCTCTCAGGTCCTGCCAACAATGAGCTGCTTGTTTCTCCTATTTCCCAGAAACAGTATTAGCTGTCCAACAAGGTCAGCAAAAAAAGAGCGGCTTTTCACTTCATGGTGCATTTGGTTCCAAAAATCTGTAAAGTATTAAACCAAGAAGTTGCACTAGCCCAACTTCACACTGAGTCCTTTCTTCCAATTCAGGGTGAGAATCGCTGTAAGGAAATTTCTCACCAGCTCAGTTGATAAGGCCCAGAGCCCTGGGATACATGTGCATTCAGCCCCACTTTCCCAGCCTCATGGTTTCAAACCTTCAAATCACTTCCAGGTGCCCCAAAACTTGACAGGTGGACCTTCGGTTTCCCAGATGCCCCCAGCTCTTCTGGTTTTAGACTTGTAACCCAAGATGCATTTACTTCAGAGGAAGCCCTGAATTTTTCAGATCAGGAAATGAGTTTCCTACTTGCTATCCTGTCTGCCCATCCAAACAGCAATGTGGTCGACATACCAGTGGTACAAGTATCCGTCAACTCTGCCTTCCTAGGTGTAAAGATGTTAATGCTGATAGAACGAGGTTTTATGTTTTCCTAGCAAATGCATTGCCTAAAAGGTATATTTTATTGGCATTTAAAGGAGTTAGACATCAGTTGTCATCACTGTAATATTTCCAGAACTAGAAAGAAAAAAAAATCTTATCTTTCTGGCACGTTGACTTCTTCGGGATCCTTTTGGTGTAAAGAAATGATATTTCCTTCAATGAAAGCAGCACCGAATGTGCTACTCAGATTCCATCTGATTTCAAGGCTATCTCCAGATTCATCAGAAATGGCCTGTGGCAGGAAGCACACTGATGAAGCTAGTGAATTTAGGCAAATAATGACCTAACTTGGAAAAAAGAGGAAATTGGGAGTTTCACTATGCTGCTTCACAAAGTTATCTTTGTGTCTTTGAATTTAATGCCACGGCCTGGCAACAGCAGCAAAACCAAAACTGTTTTATCTCCAGACAATAGGTATACTTTTACTCCAGCAGGAAATGGAAACTCTGATTCATGCACTTATTTTCATTAGTCAGGAGAGAGTTGACTGTAGCTTTTTATTGGTCAGCTTTCCTGAATGGTTTTAAAACTACTCCAGGTGCAAAGTGTGGCAACCCAAGTTAAATAACAGAAAATGAATCTACAGCTGTTTTCCACAGAAGTGAAGAAAAATTTGCCGGTGTGGACTGCTAGTTTTTAATGTTTTCTTTTCATAACATGATATTTCAGTAAACATCCTTATTATTTAAAGAGCTCATAGAGCAGACCTTATAAGAGCCAATCAATGGACTTGAATGATTGATGAAAGAGAACATGCAATTAGTGATCAAACGTGGAAAAATTATCAGCTTCACAAGAAGTCACAGAAATGCAAATAAAAGTAAGCCATTTTTCAGCAATCAAATTAGCAAAGATAATAATGTGCTGTGCGTGTTTTTACGGGGCCAGGAATACTGGGAGTGGGGGGGCGGGAATAAAAGAAGAATTAAATCAGGAGTAGCAGGATTAAGAATTCTGGTAAAATGACATGTCAAATTTTAGGAATTTGTGTATATGCATTTTGAGGACTGTACCCTTTGATCTAATAGGATTGCTAGTCACCTGAAAAGGTTAATTACCTTTCAAATGAAAAAGTATCAAAGTACTAATAGTAGTGGTATTTGGATGATAGGACTGCAGATGATTGTTTTCAGTGTTCTTTCAACTATTTGTTCACCAAATATCTGCTGAGCCCCAAGCAGGTGCAAGGCACTGCTTCTAGGTACTAGAGAGATTAACAAACAAGACAGAAAGGTCCTGGCCCTTTGGGAGCCTGTGGTCTAGTGAGGAGACAGACAATAGCAAATATACAGCATCATTCTAGGGCTAAGGGCTTAGAACAAACAAATGTGGACTACTTTAGTCATGGAAGTTAAGGAAGACCTCTCTGAGGACATGATATGTGATCTAAAAAAAATCTGAATACAGTGCAGAAATCAGTGTGGGGGCCAATCTAGGCTGAGGAATAATAAATGCAAAGGTCCTAAGGTGGGAAGGTGCCTGACTTGTGGGCTTGGAGTAACTGTGCCAAACAGGGCGGCCCACATGGCTGAGGAGCAGAGAGGAAGGGACCAGGGCCCATGGGCCTCACAGCTGTGGTGAGCGCTCTAGTTGGCCTCTGTTCCAGCGTGATAGCAATCTCCTTTTGGCTCACTGCTCCGACTCCATGGGAAACTGCCAGAGTACTTCATACACTATGGCAACATAAAAACTTCTGAGGAAATGCAGAGACAGAGAAATTCTGGAGGTACATCCCTCAAGATCAGGGTCTGTGAGCTGCTGTCCCTTCAGTCTGTGAGGTGGTTCAGAGTCACCTTTCAGGAAGAAAGGAATAAGGTTTAGGCTGGGGGTAAGGGAAGTGGAATCCAAAGCAGCTCTGCTTTAAAATGCTTAAAAGGAGATTCTGGTCCCAAGTAAAACAAAACAAAAACCTATAACTCTCAACTTTATTTGGAAGAGTGTGCCAAAGATGTTCTATTTTTTTTTTTTAGTTTTTTTAAATCCTCACCCAAGGATATGTTTATTGATTATAGAGAGAGAAACATTGATCAGTTGCTTCCCATACAAGCCACAACCTGGTCCAAACCCACAACCTAGTTACATGCCCTGAATCGAACCTACAACATTTTGGTGCACAGGATGACACTCCAACCAACTGAGTAGCCTGGCCAGGGCAGAAGTTTTATTCTTAAATACAAAAATAAAACACACAACAATAAAAAAAAAAAAAAAAAGCAAAAACTCTGGATATCCTAAGTTAATCCTTGAATCACACTAAGCATG